GGGGGGACTCCCTCTGTACACCTCTACAACATTCGGGGGGGGTGGGGGGGGACGCCATTTGTATAATTTTTTTTTTCTTTGTGACTTGATCGATCCTATAAATTGTCATTTGTGGACATTGTTCCGGGTGATCTCACTATGACAATCACGAGATGTTTATGCGTCTGTCACTTTAATTAAGTTTCACGTGTCAGCCATGACCGCGGTGCAGACGTTGTCCTTGTAGGATGTTTGTGCAACTTTATTGTTCTGGACATTACCACAGAAAAGCCACAAAGACCCTCCTGAGTGATGTGTTTCACCTGGAAAGTGCTTGGTTGTAGAGAACCCGTCATCACGTGTATATCACTTCCTCTGTATCATAGAGACGCATGTTCATGTCATTCGGGAGGAAATGTAATTAATTAAATAAGTTATATCTGGAAACAGGTCCAAGTTATTTACGGTCAGAGCTATTCCTGCTTCTGGCTTGGGATTGGCTGGCCGCCATTGTGTGGTGGTATGCTGCAAGGCGAGTGTGACGCTTTACTGCAGCCTGTGTAACCTCAGGACCCACATATGTCCTTTGTCATCAGGTTGCACTGCATTGGAACGCACAGCATTGTGTTCCTGCATGTTCCTGTGCGGATAATCAAACTGATCAAATGAAGGGCAATTTACCTCCCGCACCAGAACACGCGGCCGGTGTGATCGCTTGGTACAGAGTCGGAGTGTTCATGGCACAGGACTGTATCATTAACACACTGTACTAGGGGGAACAGGCCCTCAAACACACTGACAGACGCATTCAAACGCACTCCAAAAAAAATAAGATGTAAGAGCCACCCGGACTCCCTACCTTACGAGAACTGGAGCGGATCCTCAGCCTGGGGTCCAATGTTGGCTACTGTGCTGTGCCGGAGCTCCATCCATATGTGCAATGCTGGTACAGCTCCCTTGTGCGCCCTGTAGAGGTGGCGGGAGCCAGAATGTGACATCACTCCGGTCCAGGCACCTCTACAGGACACATGAGGGAGCTGCAGGCAACGCACTTATGGATGGAGCTCCTTCACGGCCATAGCCCCCTCAAGCTGACACTCGGGGCCGGGCAGCACATGTGGATTGGCTGCTCGGTGTAAGAACTGACAGTGCTGCACTATGGGGGGAGGCTGAGGAGCGTCTCACCTAGCGCAGTGGAAGGCACGGGGTTGTGACCCACCAGTTAAGAACCACGGCCTTGGTGTGTTGGAATGCTGTTGAAAATTAACCATGTGGGGGGGGGGTTTGCTGTGTTATGGTAATGCACCAAAGGTGAACCTGTCAGTATATATAGAACGATAGAAAATACCTTTCATTAGGCCCAAACACCCCCCCCCCCACCCCCTCCCGAGCCCCCAGTCCCTAGAGGCCTTTTTTAAAATCCCTTTCATTAGCCCCAAACCCCCCCCCCCCCACCACATCCTGAGCCCACAGTCACTAGAGGCCTTGATTTCCCCAAATGTAATCTCTTCCTACTGCCCCCAAAGTGACCACCGAGGTCTTCTCAGCTGGTGAGCCCTTGCAACTCTTCATTACACGTCACAAACCCCACCGAGCCCCATGGTTGCAGTTTTGTTAAGCATTTGAATTTTCCTGACAACAATACATGGCAGCATACAATGGGCTGGGGGCGGAGCCATACCCCATTGTATGCTGCCATGTATTGGCATCAGGAAAGGAAAATTACCAAAAGGTAAGTATACAATTTTCCGTTTTTGTTAATCAGTTGCAAAGTTTCTTACCAGAGATCCTGCCAGTGACATCACTTCCTGTTTCTGGCTGGCAACACTAAGCCACTTCCTGGCAATTAGCAGTAATGTTGTCAGCCTGCTGTGTGCACTCCTGCAGTTGGGCCGCTTGTCAGGTGTGCAGGAGCAAAGGGCGGGGTGGAGAAGGTAAGGGGGTGCAGGAGCAAAGGGCGGGGTGGAGAAGGTAAGGGGGTGCAGGAGCAAAGGGCGGGGTGGAGAAGGTAAGGGGGTGCAGGAGCAAAGGGCGGGGTGGAGAAGGTAAGGGGGTGCAGGAGCAAAGGGCGGGGTGGAGAAGGTAAGGGGGTGCAGGAGCAAAGGGCGGGGTGGAGAAGGTAAGGGGGTGCAGGAGCAAAGGGCGGGGTGGAGAAGGTAAGGGGGTGCAGGAGCGGAGGGCCTCCCGTTGGCATGAAGGAGGTGCAGGGTGCGTTGTCACCTGCCATGGGCAGGATTTCTGGATGAGTAAACATATTCACCTAAACCATCTTTGGTGAATGTGGACTCGGTGACTATTGGGTTTCGGGTTTACACTCGCTCATACTGATCCCGTATCAGCTCATATTATACAGTTGTAGCTGGCCAGAGATAAGTTGCACCTGTTTCGAGTGATGACTAAAGGACGGACTTCATTCACGTTCGGTCTGATTGGCCGGCAGCTTCCTGTAATGGACGCCGGTGCATTGCAGAGTTAACGATAAACTGGCGGCAACCTTTTCATATTCCGGAGGTCAGAGCCGACAATGATTGACAGGAGGTGACTTTTCCGTGTATATATTTTTCCCTCTTTCTGTTCATGAATAAAGTTGTCGGGCGCGGAGCTACCAGCAGGCGGCGCACATGTCGTTGTCTCATTGTATTTGTGGGGGGGGTATGGGAGGGAAGGGACTTCGGAAGGGTGACAACCTGCAGCCGTGGAGGTCAGCAGTAAATGCCCCATGTATTTGTCTCTATATATTTCCTTTTAGTTTTGGTCTGCCGTCCTAT